AAAAAAATTTTGCACAAAATTAATATTTTCTGTTTTGATGGGCTCCCAGAGAAATGCTGAACTTTATCCGGTAGCAAAAAGACCAAGGATCTAAGTACGTCAGTGGAAAAGGAATCGAACTCCTGACAATGTTTTTTGATTTTGATGACGAATTGGTAATAGCAATTATCAGAAACACTGGGAGAGGAGATAAGGGATCAATTTAAATATCATCTACAGCGAAGACAAATCTGTATTTCATCCATAAATCAAAATCCCGGTTAGCCTGTTTCTAAGTAACATCCAGAGAGGGCTTTTTCGACAGTCTTGCAGGAGAGCTGGCTGCGGCTGACATGTGTAATCTTTCGAGCCAAATCACAGAAAATAAAATATGAGGCGAAGACTCTATTTTTACTGGACCATAATTTATCTCGTCATACTTCAGGGGTGCAAGCTGCCAATTTCAGGACACGGTTATGCTCAACACATCAAGGACATTCCGAAATGGCTAAAGCTTTGGTAAGAGCTACTGTCAGAAGACCTGTTGAAGAATTGCTAATCTCTTCAGGAAGTGAAACAAACGTCTGGATCGTCGGCAAGATGATCACTGGGCGATGCAGCATTGGACAAAGCAGTTGAGGAAGTGGAAAGTCAGATGTATAGATATATAGATAATTGTGAATAATTAACAGTGTTTAAAGTATTTCAGGTGTGAAATTTACAGGTGCCGAAATGAAATCTTTTCACGGTTTTCCTCGGGAAAGACGGACACGTTTGCAAATGAGATAAGCTAGGTGACAGGCACTTTGTCAATAGCAATCACTGTTAAGGGTTTCCTTTCCGGAAACTGCTTGAGGAGCGTGTGCTGAGGACACTTTGTTTTCGAGGAATTTTCGGCTGCTCAGCACCAATTTACCATAAAGAAAGGGTAATACAGCGAAAATATCTAAAAACTGCCAGAGTAGATACCTAAAAAATCAGAAACTGCGGTACCTTTGTGTCCGGTGTTGAACGAATCGTTCTAGTAGGCGTGGAGCGACGTATATTTCGACTGCGTGACCGTGAACGTGAACGGCGCCGCGATCCATTTTTCTTCACCGATGGTGCTGCCTGTGCAACAGCACCTTTTTTCACTGCTGACTGTGTCATCTATAAAAAATAAACAATGACAAGTACCTCTACTATCGTGCATAAGGTCGAGAGTGCAACTACGTTTCCTGTAATTAGATTCAGTTAATACTTTGAATAAGAATTCATCATACTCCCTTCTACGTTTTTTTTTCTCGCTTCTTACTGCTCAAGATTTCTAATCAGTCTGGTCTTGAGAATTACTTACGTGCGCACCTTAAACATAGCGGGTTTGCAGTTTCTATCGGCGTGCACTCCTCTATCTGCGTTTATCGCCAAGGGATGAAGCACAGACTGTACCACAGATCACCTGCCGATAAATGCAGCACCTTGGTCTATCCTTTCGATCTTTCTTGTTACTCTCCGCCACCAGGACAACTAATCCCTGTACAACTCGTCAAACGATTCAGTGGCAAGTTGGCACTGGAGCAGATGCTAAAGGTTCAAAACTGCTTTCAGCAATTTTTCAAAGCGGGAAAAATCGAAGGCTTTATCGGC